ATTCTAAAGCCATTAAAAGAATCATTTTGTGATTTACTGCTACAATTAATAATTGTCCCAGTAAATGTCCAAACCCTACAGAACTGGTGCCTCGTGAGAGCACACTACAAGTATCTCCAGAAAATTAGGTGTCAACATAGGATTTTCAACACCTTATCTCCTCCCTCACCCCCCACCTCAAGCTCACTGAACCCCACCTACCGTGTCTCTACTGGTTCTGCTGGTTTCCTTCCTAGTTCCAGGGCCTTAAACATACCATCTTCATTCCGGACCTCCTCCTCCATGCTCATCTCTTGTACACTGCTGCCCCACATCTCCTTTCCTGTACTTCCTATCTCCTTAACCTGCTTTAACCTGGGGCTGATTTCAAACATGTTGCATTTTGTTGCATTGATTTTGAGGAGAATTGCCTTGCAGACCTATTTAAAAACGTTCACAGAAAAGCTGAGGCATCATGCAAATTTGGAAGGCAGGACAATGTGCGTGACTATGTCGTCACAGTTCTTACACTAAGGAAATTAAATCTAGCCCTTCATCATTCTGTAAGAACTATTTCAAATGCAACCAAGTGCAATTTTTCAATGTCTGTTTTCAGTGCCTCACCTAAACTCACCAAATAGATTTCTTTACTGAATTTTTCAATTCATTATCAAGTGTAGAAGGAAAGAAAGCATCTCATTCTCACCAGCTCGTCTACATTGTTGATAATGGCAAGGCTAGAGGCCTGGTTGACACAGTACTGTTGAGCTCCACTCCAGTCTCTTCTTTCTTTTGAAAAATAGTAACAACTTCCACTGAACAGGATCCAGTCACAGGGGCACACTTTTGTACATCCTATAAACAAATCAGGTAGTGAGATTTTTGTTTTCTGTTGTTGTTTATATTGTTGCTTTTCCAGCAAAATAGATGTTTTTTCATTAAAGAAAGTAATTTTTATAAGGTTTGTTTTTCAAAGATTCAGTCAACCTAAAATAGAATGCCAAGTAAAACCGAATAATTAAAGAATCATGGTGGCAGTAATAATGTCTTCACTTAGAAGACTTCTTAGAACAATATCTCTTCAGCATGTTGTTGCTATGATTGATTAATTGTTTGAATGAATGGTTTAAATCTCAATCTGCCTGCATTTCTGCATGGTCATTACCACTGTAGCCTTCCAGTTCCATGGGCTTGGATTTGAGTCCAGCTTCTGTTATCTGTCTGTGTGGAGTTTGCATGATTTTCTCAAGCATGCAGCATTTTTCTTATGTGTTCCACTTTATTCCTACCTCACAGCAATGTTCTAGCTGCGTTTGACAGACTATCATAAATTTTCTCTTCATCTGCCCCTTCACCCAGTGATGGACAGGTGTCCTATCCAGAGTGAGAGACATACTGTACTGTGCTCTCAATCCTTCCTTGTGCTTCTAGAATACATTGCAGTGCTATGCAGTGCTAGCTGCTATGCTCACTAGGATAAGCGGCTTTCTGTTCATGGATGGATTATTTCTCCCTGGCAAACTATATAAACTCTACCCACTAGCACTGCCTGATGTGACAATACATAACACAAGTAATCTGACCATAAGTACCAACAGTATTATTGAGAGCTGATCCAGTATCTTAAACTGTATAATTGCTTTGCTGACTGGCCTGATGGTTCATGCTGTCAAACATTTTGTTTTATTAATAAATCTTTGTAGTAAAAAAAGTAACACATTTGTAATTTACTGGGAATTCAGAATGTACTAATTAATTATACTGCAGTTATTTTTATTGGATTTGACCTGAGTGTTTCTATTTCCTGTCCTGATTTCCTTGGCAAGTACTGCACTAAGAAAAGAAAACAGTATACAAGCCTGTCACTTGAGGATCTCATAGCATATCAAACACTTCTTGGAAATGCAGGTAAAACAGTACATTATTAGAGGCTGAGAATTCTCTTTTTGACCACTTTAAATCAGTAAGAGCAGAGGTCCAAAATGAGAAGCTTTTGTCCAGTTGAATGTGTTATACTGTCTGTAATGTATCATCTCTCTTGATCCAAAATCAAAGCACTGACCTTGGGCTTGGAGCTGGGCAGATAAAGTGTTCAGCCTGGATAACATCTGAGACTCTGAAAATACAGACAGAACTTCTGTATTCTACTGTGTCCAGTGCAAAGCAAAAAAGAAACAGCAAAACCATATCTCCAATGTCGGCCTAAATATTTAAACAAGAATGCACTCTATATGATTTCAGAATTACATTTTAAGGCATTCATGAAAAACACAATTCAAGACTCTCAAAATAATAATGGAGTATTCTTACTTATCTTTCACTTCACAGAGTAGATGTTGTATCTTGTACTATATTATTGGTTTGCTGAAAGGTTTGTTTATTTATGCTGCAGCCTGATTTTTTTACTTGATATCTAAATAGTGAAAAATGAATTAATGTATTATTTTGTGAAATCATAATGTGTTTTGTGTAATTTGACCTGACAATTTCTTGCAGTAAAAATGTAGTGTACCATTTTAGCATATCCAGCAGTAAACATCGTATCACATCATCATCTTACATGATGATTTTATAGCATATTGAACACTTCTTGAAAAATCAGGTAAAACAGTACATACAGTAGCTAGAACCTTTGATTTCTCCTTTTGACGACATTAAAACAGCAAGAGTAGAGTATCAGGATGAGAAGCCATTGTTGAGCCTACTGTGCTACACTTCTGTAATGTATTATTTATTCTGATCCAGAATCAGAGCACTGACCTTGCACTTGGAGCTGGAAGATGAAGCTGTTCAGTCTGGATGACATCTGAGACTCTGAAATTACAAATGGAACATCCATGCTCTCTAGTGTCCAGTACAAAGCACAAAAGAGGCAGTATTTGTATTGCCATGCAAATATTGTTTCAAATATGTGCTGACTATATGATATTGGAATTTGATTGTAAGGTGTTCAACCTGAGAATGATTCACGATACTGAAAATAATAATGGGTTATTCTTATTCATTTTTCAATTTATTGGTGCCATGATCTCTATTGTCTGCTACAAAAAAGAGAAAGTATTTGTATTGTCAGCCTAATTTTACTTAAGTAAAGGTAGCAGAGTTTGTGATTTTGGAAATGGATTGTAGGGTGAATTTATGAATTCAGCAAAAACTTATATCACAGACAGCATAGACTAGTCGTATGGTCCAATAAGACAAAAAGTGTTAAAAACCACACAAGAAAATTTGACACACTTGGGTCTGTAATAACAGAAACTGGGCTAAGATGATTTTCATTTTGGGTACTATGCATGCTTGCGACTTCCAATTGCGACTTAATTCCAAACCTTGACCTTTCAATGTCATTTTTAGATGAGTTTCGCTGAACTCCAAGGCCAAGACAAATGTCCGTACAAAACAGGCATGGAGCCAAACGAAAAAAAGACATGTATTATTGCAGACAATTTACATAATGCAAACAACAACATAAGGTATTAGGGTAATTAGATTCCTTTGGAAATACTGAACAGTGGTTTGCCAATGACTCTAATATCTAACTCAAATGCTACAGTCACTTAGTCTAGCAATAAGCTTCTGGTAATCAGAAAGGCACTATCAAGTGACTTGCTTGAAACGTGCATTAATTTAGCCTAGATTTTAGCCTATAAACTGTGGCTGATAAATCCGTTTGGTCTTTGTCTGAAAACCCTGTGTCAGTGCTACAAGATCCCAAACATAAACACCCTCCCACACACATATAGCTCCTACCATTGGTCATCAACTCAGCTTGTTTCATTCCCAGGCTTCGGATTTCTGCAGAACCTTTGAAAATAAAAAAAGACTCCAGTCAAATGGGAGAACAGTTTAGTTTCTTTGGTGCTTGAATGTGCCATACAGTACAGTATGTGACTATTCTACAGCAAGCTGAACACAAGTAGGACAAGAATCATAAGCTGGGGAAAGAGTCTAGAAAGAGATGCACTGAGAGCTTTTGAAGAAGAGGAGTTTTATGTGAAATTTCTCATTCTGGAAACATTGTGCTTTTCTCTCAATTTCAGTTTCTTAGGTATAACGTCTTAAGCAGGGATGTGCTTGTGATTCTTCCATGACAATGAAAGATGCAATGTGACAACTAAAAATATTGGGAAAAAAACATGGAACCTGAGTATAATTTATCAGTCCCTTAAAACACTGAGTATACCTTTCAGAAGTAGAAACTGTTCTGTCCTGTATGTGTTTTGCATTCTGTTTGAAGGGCTTGCAATCCAAGTTAGAAAGATTTAAACTGTGTAGAGTAGAAGCAATTTGTACCATTTGTTACCACATCCTTCTTTCTACCTGGCGTTAAACAACAAAAACTACACAGACATGCATTTTGTTACAAAAGTAAAATGGCCACTATGAGTATAAAAAAGTGAATGAAACCCTACTCCCTCTAATGTCGGTTTCCACGTTTTCATATACTGTTTTTTGTATATGCATCTCGTATTTGTTTCAGTTTCAGAAAACATTTACAAATGCATCATTTCTCATCTAAGAAAAATAATATACCCGACCAGGATGCAAATGCAGATATGAATTAATGTACTGTATGCTTGTAATTCTGAACTTACTGTTCTCCTTCAAGGTGACGTGACTCATTCGGAGGTGCTGAATCTCTTCTGTCAGTGCAGAGTCTGAAAGAGAGAAACAAATCCAGATCGAGAGGCAAAGAGGAGCTTTAATTTCTGATCTGCTGTGAAAGTGTCAAGTCAATGAACTGTCACAAGCACAGATCAAGCTCACATCTTCAGGAATGGATTAATTTTAATACTTTCTTATCAGAATGGCCCTGGGCTATTAAAATCTGCAAGAAAGAGATTTCTCTGGGTTTGCAAGTACAGGGTTTCTAATCATTTTATCCAATACAGGATCATGGGGAACAAGATCCTATTATGCCAAGCAATGGGTGCCAGAGAACACCTGAAGGAAACCCACTCAACCATTGAGAGAACGTATAATCTCCACACAGATACCATCCCAGGAATTAAATTCAGTGTCCCAGCACTAACTTTCACAAACAGTTATTACAAATCTGCAACAGATTTTTCATCAAATAACTATGATATTTTAAAGCATCGCACATTGAAACTCTTCCAGGTCTTATTGAAGAGTACCTTCCAAGAGGTTAAATGCAGGATTTTGTTCTTTTGCAAAACAGGAACACAAGAATTGTAATGTCGTATGGTTCATTCAATAGTCATTCTCTGCCAGTTTCTGGACTTACACTTTATGAAGGCCAGTAAGATGAAGACTATCCAGCCTAGAGTGACCATCAATAGCAGGACATACAGCAGAATGATGGACTTGGTCCCAGCAACAGCAGCAGCTGGATCTGTAAAAGGAGTATAAGACATATTTGCAGTCCCATAGGTAACTTTTTATAATTGCCAGTGTTGAACATCCTGCCTTTGGGGGAAGTGAAATTTCTTTTCTTTTCTAAAAAAAAATAGAAAGTTTTAAGTCACTGATAAAGCAGCAAAAGCAGAAGACCATCCTCAGAAAATAATTAGAATCATCTTAATAAGAAAAGGGTGGATATCTGAAAAAATGCTGATCTGGGCTCAGCCTTATGTGAAACCTTCCCTTCCCCGTCAATTCTATTCTTGACATGTGAAGGACTTCAACCTCATGTCCTACTGAAATGGAAATTATGATACATATACAGTATAGCAGATATGACAGAGACCTATATCGAAGACTAGGTATATTCTAAAACTATAAATAGGAAGATCACAGAACTCCAATGTTGGAAAATATATGGAAATAAATATTACTGTATGTTTTATATCATTGGTGTTGGCAGAGACAGAGAAGAACTAAAACACAGGTGTTTGGAAAGATACCGGAATAATAGCAATAGTTTCTTATACTATATTTATGCAGCATTTTCCATCCTGAATGAATACAAATGCTAAAGCACTACAGTACATGTTTCTGGAAAGTGGCAACATGAGAGAAATGATCAATTCAGTAGTTGGTAAAATTCTAATAATGATAAAAGGTGACTTTAAATATAAAGGAACAAGTAATAGGTTCATTCCATGCTGAAAAGAGAAGAGAGAAAACACAACGTTTTGGCTGTGAAGCCTTCTTCAGGTGTGTTTGTTCCGTGAACACTGTTGTAGAAGTCTCAGAGTATTACCGGAGTAAAAAAAAAAAAGTTTTAAATTTTAGATGAAATCCCTTAGGAATTATATTATTAATATGACTCTTTAAAGGAATAAGAGGTGGTTAGAAAGCCTGGTCTTGGAACAGATCACTGTGAACAGACAGAATGCTGGTTTAGTGAGAGAGGGGGGCAAGTTGCCCAGGGAGGAAGAGAAGGAACAATGATGAGATCTAGAAAAAGATTAGAGGAAGGCATAGTGGGTCGCAGCAGAAGTACATTAGGTTGAAGTAGTTCAGGTGGATGGCTGCGTCAGCATGCATAGTCTGTAAAGGAACAAGTAATAGGTTTATTCCATGCTGACAAAAGAAGGGAGAAAACATAACTAAGTAGGCTTCACAGCCGAAACGTGCTTTTTTCTTTTTTTCAGCATGGAATAAACCTATTACTTGTTCTCTTGCAGACTACGCATGCTGACGCAGCTATTCTCTTGAACTACTATAAATATAAAGGGATAGTGTTAATAATACTTTGCCATTAACTAGCCTGACTGATGAAATGACAACACTGAGACAACACCCATCATTTACAAGGAATGAACCAGGGAGGCAGCTGAAAGGTTGAGGCTGGGGTGAAGGAAGGTGTGAGCAGCCAGCCAGTATTTAGCAGAAGTGCAAGTTTAAAAATTGACCTCCCTCTGAAATTCTCCCCTTGCGAATCTTCCCTGTGAAGGCAGCTTTTTGAAAAAAGGCACATCGTCAGGTCACATTTAGCAGTTAATGGCTTAGTCATACTCGTGCTGGATTTAAACTCTGTTGAAATTACTCCTTTCTCTGAGTTGTCCTTATTTCTCCATTCTGGGGTTTGGCTTCTCTTCTTCATTTCTAGGGTGTGTTCAATGTTTTCATAGTCTGCATCACTCTCATCATCTTCATCGTCATAACCATCATCTTCATTGTCATAAACAAACATCTCTAACCACTCATCTTTAGTCATGTGTAAAAACTCTTAAAAATAAATAATTGATCTGAAATTATTTTAGATATCTCAGATAATTAAAGCAGTTCTGTCAGGCATTGTCTTGATGCTGCAAAGTATTAAATGTTCTAACATCTGTGCTCATTGGTTCATTATTTAGATATTGCTTTTACTGTGATCATCTTGGTAAAACTTTGTAAAAGTTACCTGATATAATGTATACAACATGCAAATTGGGCTTAAAGATCTAAATTGTGCATGGGACAAGTTATGTATACATACAGTATAAATGTGCTATTTCTTTGCTTTGGAATATACTCTATGAAGTAAGTTTTGCACTTAAGTAAAAACAAAATGCATCAAGTCAACATGTGATTAACACCCACAGAACAAGAGAAATATTAGAAATTAAATTTTCCCTATTGATGTTTGAGTTCTGCTTACATTTTCACCGCCATGTCATGTACACAGAAAAGAGTAGTGTAATCATGTTGAATACCAAGGCACTAGGACAGGTAAATGTTAGTTAAAGCATATGTACAGTAGATAGGTAATAATGCATAAAACTCAAACAGTAGAAAAAAATAGACAATTCAGTATTGAGTTGTGGTTTCAAACCTTGGACAAATACAATGCTTCTAATATTTTTTTAAAAAGATTGTTCAATAATCTATGTTACAGAAGAATGCCTCATTGTTAATCAAATGCAGAATAATAAAGAGTCTGAAATGAATGTAGTACGTACATTTTTTTTTCTGCCAACATAAAATACAGATTCAGCTGCATGCAGCAAACACTTTAAGTACAAAAATAATCTGTGTTCTTCAAAAGTTGTTCCTCCAGGACCCTCTCTTGAGAGAGAATAAGGTTTACCTGATGGCGGCTGTGTTTTCCTAGTCTGGAATTGTTTCTGAGCCTCAACGTGGAGAACATCATTATTCCCATAGATACTTGCCATCTTGTTGGTCAATAGAGCAGATGTGTCTCTTTGATCTGTTAATTTTAAATGGCAACTTATGATAGCATGTATGAATGGTTTTAAAGAGGAAATATGTGGCAAAGTGGTTTGATGTGTCAAAAAAAAAGAGAAGCTCTGCTGCCGGTAGTGTATGGTAATCAGATGTTCTCTCTAGGGGCTTGTGTGATTTTCACCATAAATTGAGTGATGCTCATTTTGGCTGGGGGATTAAATAGAGACCATGAATCTACTATATCTGGATCACCCATCCTATATCCAGGAAGTGGACAGAAATATTAATTTTTCAGTCTTTTCTGGTAATCCTGGTAGCTTCATTACCACCTTGTAGACTGATCTTTCCAGATTTCAGAAGTTCAGCAAGGCCTCGTCTGATCAGTACTGGAATAGGAGCCAATCAGGAAATCCAAGTTGCTGCTGCAAGTATTGTTGGTGGGCCAGTAGGTGTTGATCTTCTCCCTGGACCACACTGTACAATGTCCCAGCATTGTGATTAAGTAACACGTGCTGTAGGAGGTACAATCCTTCAGAAGAGATGTTTAACTGAGGTCCAGATTACTTGGTCTCTAAAGTTTCTATTAAAAAAAAAGACTTTCCTGGCTTTCCTAGCTAAAAACCTTCTCTGGGCTTGGACAATCTAGTTTTTTATAAAGTTCCTCCTTAATTTCTCACTTGTTCTACCTGAGCTGCTGTACAATGGGTCTACTGGTACATAATGGTACCCAAGTGAGCACTGCACTTCAGCAGTGGATGAATCAGGTCTCCTTCCACTACTATTTCAGTGTAAAGTGTTACAGTATATCAATCCAAAAAAACTGTTGCTGAATTATTAAACAAATCATGAAGCTTACTCCCTATTATAGTTGAACAACTGGAGTTTTGTGTCAGTGCTTTCTGAATAACATATCTTGTTTCTTTGAGCACAATTAGTTACATAGCATTGGGGTTTATTGAACCCCGAGGATTTACTGATCTTGAGTGATTCTAGTGCCTGAAACATTCCTGTGACAATAATGTTTAATAAAGAATTTTCCTTCCATGTCCTGTGAAATGTTAAAAATCAAATGATAAACCTGTTTTATTTCATTAATCTATTTTTGTTCTTTGCTCTCTATTATGAATACATTTACTTTATATGCACCTTATCTCCAGATAAAGACAAAAACATTTTAGAGTCAAAGCCGGAATATCTTGATGAAATTAGTCAATATTTATAAATACTTGGATGGGTAATACTGTATCATGCTCATCTAAGGGTTTTTGACTGTGGGTGTCTCAGTTAAAGCCTATATGCAAACAGTTTCCTTTTGGATAGTCAATCCTTCTCCCAATCAAAGGCTTACATTGCGGTAAGTTATTCTTATTTTTGTGGTACAATTTCTGGAGAGAATACTTTAAGCAAGACACGCTGACGCTTTGATGTTTACAGTTATGGTTACAATTAGCAGAGGAAGCTTACTCCTGTGCTTAATTTGCATGCATAGTTTTGAAGAGGAAATCTCTCTTTGCTTCACTCATGTCACTTAGGTAAGAATAAGGTAAATGTAGAACTCATTAGAAAATTGGAAATGCAACATCAGTTTGAAGAAAACAATCAAGAAACTAATGTCTACAACACCCATTAATGCACACCATCCAAGAAGATGAATATTTAAAGACAAAAGCAGGGGCAAAACACTGGAATATATATGGCAACATGCTAAAACATATTAAAAGGTGCAATAAAGTTGCTATTTACCACCACTTTTAATACACTGTATTAGGAACTGGCTTTGGGGGAGCTGGAACCTACAGTATCCCAGCAAGCAAAAGTAGGGTACACCCTGGAGAGAACATCAGTCCATGCAGGGCAGACACAAACACTCTCACACCAAGACCAATCCCAGAAGCAATATTAATCTACCAGTATGGGTATTCTAAGAGAAGTCCAAACAAGAAAGTGGTTGAAACACACAGACTTTAGGTTTCTGCGCAACGTTCTCAAAGACTTGTGTCTGGTGACTTCCACCAGTGCTTATCAGTATAAACCTTCTTGTACTGCAGAGGCCTCACTCCCAGGCCTCACTGTGTCAGAGTGGGCTTCAGTGAGGAAGAGGCTCTGACCCATCTACTGTGGTCCTTCCATTTTGTTAAGGCTTTCTGGGCCTGATTTCAGGACTGGTTACAGGCCCCTTCACCTCACTTTTCCCTGACTGCTCCCTTTATTGCAAATGACATCTGTCCTGTCAAACTACCCTCTGAAATATTTTAACAGGATTTGGGCCATAGTGAATAGTGGAAAAGATGCTGTCTGGAGGGTGAGGAACATCCAGTCTAGTGAGCAGGTATCCTATCCCTGTACATTATTAAAGATTACTATTCCCTCAGAAATCGGTGGAGAGTAGGGAAGGGGGAAGCAGAAAATCTGGGAAAAGAGAGGGCATAGGACTGTGCCTCAAAACCCTGTGATATCAAATGAAATGATAAAATTCTATATTCATTTAAGGACAAATGGCATTTTTCATGGGAAAAAACATTAATTTTCTAATCATCTTATCTACTACTGGGTCATAGGGAAGCTGGAGCCTATCCGAGCAAGCAATGAACACAAGCCTGGATACACCTTAGACAGGACTCCAATCCATCTCAGGGCACACACAGACAAACACTCACACCAGGGCCAATTTTCCCAGAAGCCAATTTACCTACCAGTATGTCGTGACTTTGGACTATGTTGGTAGGGAAAAAGAAGCACCTGAAGAAAACCCATAAGAACACAATGTGAACATACATGATCCATTCAGATAGCACCCCAGATACTGAACCCAGGGCCAGGGCCCCAGTGCTTTGAGACCTGGATTTAAGACCTCCTGGGAAAAAAGGTTGCTGTTGGAAGAGGTGTTAGTGGGGCCAGCAGGGGGTGTTCACCCTGCGTTCTTTGTGGGTCCTAATGCCCCAGTATAGTGACGGGGACTATACTGTAAGAAGGCGCGTACTTTGGATGAGACATAAAAACATAAGACTCTCCCTGGTCATTAAACATCCCAGGGGTTTTCTTGAAAAGAGTAGGGGTGTAACCCCAATATCCCATTGGCCCCCTAACCAATCATGGCCTCCTTATAATCCCCAACTATGAGCTGGCTTCATCATTCTGTTCTCCTCCTCACTCATAGCTGATGTGTGGTAAATGTTCTGGCGCACTATGGCTGCCGTTACATCAGACAGTTGGATGTTGCACATTGGTGGTGTTGGAGGAAAGTCCCCATTACCTATAAAGCACTTTGAATGGAGTGTCCAGAAAAAGCACTACATAAGTGTAAGCAATTATTATTATTATAATTTGCATGTTCAGAAAGCAAGTTGGTTACTTTTACAGTACCTTGTGGTGCTTGTAACCCTTGTGAATCCTTCAAGATAAAAGTCTTTACAGAGCTGTGAACATTCTTTTTAGACTTGTTTATAACTGTACAAACAGTAGGAAGGAAGAAGGAAATAAGCCGTGCTCTAATGAACAGCAGTGTGGGGAAACAGCGAACACATTTGCCCTCTTGTGGTAGAAAGTTGCTATTTCTTTTCACTGAATCGTTCTGTTACATGTTGGGAAGAGAGAATATGCAAGCCCATTGTATGCTCAGTCATTTCTAACTATACATTTCATGGATTGAATACCATAATGTAATATAGTGTTCAACAAACATTCATTATACATATTTACTAATAAGGGAAAGAACAAATTGCTATTACGGTTACTGCTCTTTAGAATAGTGAAACAAAGATCTCTGATCATAACTCACATTTGAGTTGCAATATTAAAAATTCATTATATTCATAATTGTTTGTCCAAAGCACTCAATGTGCTACACAACCACTGAAATGTACAGTAAATGTACAGTAATAGATTTAAAATATGAGAAAAAATAGTAAGATTAAATAATTTATTAATAGCTGCAATGGCAACACAGGTCTTTAAGCAAAGTTTGAAGCGGATGGCATTTGCTGAGTTT